CCCCTCCTTGGGTTTCCGAGGCAGTATCACTACGGAAGTAGGATTGCCCAACCTTCCTTCCGAGGAGTGGCTGGTGGGTTTGAACCGCCAGCCGTGTGGTTAGCAGGCAGACTTTAGTTTTAGTAAAAGTTGAAAGTGTGTGCTTTTAACTCATTTATTCATCCAGTGATTGTTTTTAGAACATGTATTTTGCTAATCATTTGAGATAAAAAGATGAGCAAGATAGCACAGCACCAAGTTTTCAGATTTATAAGGAAAGGTGTGTGATGATAGAACACTACAGGGTGCATAGAAAATGTTGGTTTGGGAAAAAGCAGGACATTTGTATCTATTAGAATGCATTTGGCTGCAAGTTTAAAAAAAAAAACTGACATTGACAAACAACAAGGATGTTTATTGTTAATGAGAAATTCTGAGAAAGTGTGGGGCTGGTCCTGCAGCTTGATACCTTCAAATGCCCCAGAATCTTTCTAATCTTACTGTTTATTTCCTCATGATCTCAAGATGACTGCCCTAGGTCCAGGGAGCACACCAGTGCTCTAAGCAGGAAGCAAAAGGTTGAGACAATGATCCTTACAGTCTAGCATCTTTTTCTTTTTTTTCTGGAAAGGAAAACCCTCCCAGCAGACTTCACTTCACAGTTCCTTGGCTCAGCCTGGGCCACATGCCCATCCCTAGAGCACTCACTGTCAGAGGAGAAATAGCAAAGAGGAACTGAGACTTTATTTAGACCAGTCATAATTCATCTTTTGGGGCTTGGTTGGGGCCTACCTTCCCTGTAATCGAGGGATCTCTGCCAGCTGTCCATAAAGTTAATTAAGTTCTAATTAAGAATGGCAGTTGGACAGTAATGAGTAGTTTCTGCCACAACCCTGCCCAGCCATTTCTGTAGTACATGTTTAGAGCTTTCTAAATGTCTTAGCACATAAGAAAATTAAGAGAATTTTTATTTGTACGTGTTTAGTACAGGAAAAAAATTCTAATACAGGAAAGCATTCAAAGTAGATGGTAAAATAGTGAAAGATTTGGTTAAAGGTGTTCAAAACAACCTACAGGAAATGTTGTGGAAGTTACTTCTTGTTTGATGGCAAGCTTGAGCTAGATAACCTCATAATATCCTGTCTGACTCTTTGGTTCTGATCTGTGACCTTAAAACCCTTTCTGTCAGCCATGGCCACAGAGTTCCTGTGATTTTTCTGTTTCTGCTGCTGTGATTGTTGTAGTTGAGAAAGCTCTCTTGGTTTTACACTGTTGGGAATTCTCTTTTCCCTCTGAGGTCTGTATTGCCCTGCACTTAGTTAGAGAAGTTTTATCCAACCAAGAGTACACTGACAAGGGGAATCCTTAAGGGAAGAGAATATATGGAGTTACATGTTTTCGATCCCCTGGACTTAGTGCTTGTGAGGCTGGCACAGGACCAGGCAGTGTTTCGTTCTGTTGTCCATAGGGTTGCTGTGAGTTAGCGCCAACTCGATGGCACCTAACAATAGACTAACAAACTCTGGCCCAAAGCCTTTCCTCGTAGCCTCAGTGCTAAATGCCCTCCCCATCCTAGCTGCCTGTACCACTTCTTTATCTCTTTAGGAAAGCTGCAAACCTTGGCAGTGCTGCTGAGACAGCTGAAGGCAGAGGGCCACCGGGTGCTCATTTTCACTCAGATGACCCGAATGCTGGATGTATTGGAGCAGTTCCTCACGTACCATGGCCACCTCTACTTACGGCTGGATGGGTCTACTAGAGTCGAGCAGAGACAGGTAACCCAGCCATCTGCAGCCCTTGCATGTTTGCCCCGACTTCTGTCGTCTTTGCCTAGGACTCAAGCTCTCAGAAGGGGCCCACTAAGCCTTGGGTCTGTTTCTGGGGCTATGCCTCCCAATACCGTCTTTTTTTTCCTTTCCCTCTAGGCCTTGATGGAACGGTTCAATGCAGACAAACGGATATTCTGCTTCATCCTTTCAACTCGGAGTGGAGGTGTGGGTGTAAACCTGACAGGAGCAGACACTGTTGTCTTTTATGACAGCGACTGGAATCCCACCATGGATGCTCAGGCCCAGGATCGTTGTCACCGAATTGGCCAGACCCGAGATGTCCACATCTATAGGTATTGTCTACTCTCTCTTCACTTTACTTCCCATTGCTGATAGGCTTTCATCTGTGTATTTGGCTGTTTACACATGACCTCCGTCACCCCCTAGGCTTATCAGTGAACGGACAGTGGAAGAGAACATCCTTAAAAAGGCAAATCAGAAGAGAATGTTGGGAGACATGGCCATTGAGGGTGGCAACTTCACCACAGCCTACTTTAAACAGGTACTAAGATCTTTTAAGAAGCCATGTGGTGTAGTAGTTAAGCTCTTGGCTGCTAACCAAAAAGTCAGTGATTAAAAAGCCCACCAGCCAAGAGAATGATGTGTCTGTCTGCTTCCATAAAGATTACAGCCTTGGAAACCCTGGGGCAGTTCTACTCTGTCTTATAGGGTCACTCTGAGTTGGAATTGACTTCACAACAATGGATTTAGTTTGGGGTTACTAAGATCTTTCAGCTTATGCAGAAGAGAATTGTTATGCCTGAGAGAGTCCCTTCTGCCTGTTAAAGGGGAACTAACTGCCTTGGCCTCCATGGGACCAGCCCTCTCCAACCAGTGGTACTCTGTCTTATAGGGTCACTCTGAGTTGGAATTGACTTCACAACAATGGATTTAGTTTTAGTTTGGGGTTACTAAGATCTTTCAGCTTATGCAGAAGAGAATTGTTATGCCTGAGAGAGTCCCTTCTGCCTGTTAAAGGGGAACTAACTGCCTTGGCCTCCATGGGACCAGCCCTCTCCAACCAGTGGTGCCTCTGATATTTCCAAGAGCTGTCAGCCTCACAGCTCTGGACGTAGGATCATTGGCTCTGACACTTTTCCCTCTGTTCTTTCTAATAGCAGACCATCCGAGAGCTGTTTGACATGCCCCTGGAGGAGCCATCTAACTCATCTCTACCCTCCGCCCCTGAAGAGGAAGAAGAGGCTGTGGCTAGCAAGCAGACCCATATCCTAGAACAGGTGAGAATAGTGGGCAATCCCTAAAGCAGAGCTAATGCTTACAGTGTATTTGTCTGTCTTTAGTCTGTTGAACTTGTCCAAAGGAGAAAGAACTGTTTCTGAAGTGAATCTGCTCTGTAAATTTTCACCCAAATCACAATTTAAAAAAAAAAAGAACTGTTCCTGCTGTTTACCAGACTACAGTAGGCCTTGATAGTTTAAGTAGATTGCTTGTTAGTCCACATGATTTAGAGAAAGACGGCAGCGTTTGGCGTTCTAAGGTCTAGGTTTTAACTCCGACACTGTCTTAATAGTTGTGTATGAGAAGCCAAGTCTGTTTATCCTCTGAGCCTCACTTTCCACTTCTGAAATGCTAATAAGAAGGAAGTAACTCAGTATTAAATGGTATAACAGCCATCAGAAATGCTTTGTACACAGTGTAAAAACACAGTTTTCCAAATACCGATGCATGATAGAATCACTAAGAAAGCTTTTCAAAATAGTGATTCCTGGGCTCCATCTCAAAATCTAAATCCTGATTTTGTGGGGTGGGGTCTGAGCAGTTTTTCCTCAAAGCTCCCAGGATGTGTGAAGCATCACAGAGATGGGTTTTCCTAGCAAGTGCCTTCTTGTGGCTAAGTGTGCTCTTGGCCACTTCCTTCAGTGACTTTAGTGGGAAGTGTCTGGATGTTTATCTCAAGGGCAAGTTCGGTCATCATTAGTTTGTTAAAGAGCGTTGTCATGAGGTATGTCAGTACAAAAAAGGATTTTAGCCTTTCTGGTGTTCAGAATTTTCTGTGATTGCTTTTTCCAGAGCTCTAAAGCTGACTGAAAGGAAAAGAAGTTCTCGAAAGCAATCGTGTTGTCTCTATCCCTAGTGGGAGTCCCGGTCAACCTATTCCATTCTTAACATGAACCACAGAGTTACTTTGGCAACTCTTGGGATCCCTAAGGGAATTGAATTCTTTTGCAAAACCTGGTTTGGTGTAAACTTGGCCTCAAATCTTTGCCAGACTCACGTCCCAGGATGTAAAGTTCTCTAAGGGAAGTATGCTGGTTTTTTTCTTTCCTGTGCCCTTGCAAGGCATTGTGTCGGGCAGAGGATGAAGAGGATATCCGTGCAGCCACTCAAGCCAAGGCTGAGCAGGTGGCTGAGCTTGCAGAATTCAATGAAAATGATGGGTTTCCTGCTGGCGAGGGAGAAGAGGCCAGTCGCCCTGGGGCTGACGATGAGGAGATGTCCCGGGCTGAGCAGGAAATTGCTGCCCTTGTTGAACAGGTCAGTGTCGGATCCACTAGTTCTCAACCTCATCCTTCATAGCTCCTTCCCTTGAGCTCTGTAACCCCCCTTCTATCTTGCCTGGTAATAAGAAACAAAGGTGATGGGCCCTGGGTACCAGGTCCCTATGTTCATCACTACTCCTCTTCCCCATAGCTGACCCCCATTGAGCGCTATGCCATGAAATTCCTGGAAGCCTCGCTGGAGGAAGTGAGTCGTGAGGAGCTCAAGCAGGCAGAAGTGAGTTTCTCTGGGGTTTGGACCTGGAATTGGGAAGCTGCTGATTTCTACCCATTCCCACCATATTTGCCTCCCTCTGACCACCCCGGGGCTCTGTTGTTGGCAGGAGCAAGTGGAAGCTGCTCGCAAGGACTTGGACCAAGCCAAGGAAGAGGTGTTCCGCCTACCCCAAGAGGAAGAGGGGCCAGGGGCTGGGGATGAAGTTTCTTGTGGGACAGGTGGTGGAAGTAGCCACCGGCGCAGTAAGAAGGTCAAGGCCCCTGAGAGGCCAGGGACTCGCGTCAGTGAGCGTCTTCGTGGAGCCCGGGCTGAAACTCAAGGGGCAAACCACACTCCCGTCACACCTACCCAGCATACCCGCAGTACCTCCACGACCCCCCGCTGCAGCCCTGCCAGGGAGCGAGCTCCCCGGCCACCACCCAGGCCTCGATCTACTACAGTTCCTGCTACTCCAGCCCTTTCTCCAATCCCCACCCAGATTCCTACTTCATCTCCAAATCCATTAACCATCCTTCCTGTCCATGTCTTACCACCTCCTCCCATTTCTCCTTCCCAGATTCCTTCCTCTTGTTCTCCTGCCTGCTCTCCTCCTCCTCCTGCCTGTACCCCCCCACCAGCCCATACCCCCCCACCAGCCCATACCCCTCTTCTGACTCCTTCCTCCCCTCTTCGGCTTGGTCCTTCTGTGCCTGTTTCCCCCCAAGGCACCAACCTCCCCTTGGGCTTGGGGCCTGAGGCAGAGCTCTGTGCACAGGCACTGGCATCTCCCGAGTCCCTGGAGCTCACTGGCACGGCCAGTTCCGAGACGTCCCCACTCACTCTTGTGTCCTCCAAGGATCTGTTGCCAGTTGCTGTTGAGGTCCTGCCCCTGTCAGAGAAGAACCTTTCTCTCACTCCTTCTGCACCTAGCCCAACCCTGGAGGCTGGCAGCATCCTCAATGGTCAAGAGCAAGAGGTGCCAGAACCTGCCCAAGGGGCAATTCTCTCAGTGCTGCCTGATGGTGAGGAAGTGCCCGTGTGTCTGAGTGAGAGCAATGGGGTGGAACTCCCGCCCTTAGCAGCATCTGATGAGCCACTTCAGGACCCGCTGGAGGCTGAGAGGAACTCTGAAGAGCTAACAGCGGCCCAGACCCCAACCTCCAGCCCACAGAAGCTACAGGAGCTTGTTACAGCAGAGGCCACTGCCCCATCAGCCTCATCCTCAGCCACCTCCTCACCTGAGGATCCTTTGCCTGCCCGGCCCCCTCGGCGTCGCACCAGTGCTGATGTAGAAATTCGGGGTCAAGGGGCTGGTCGGCCAGGGCAGCCTCCGGGCCCCAAAGTGCTACGCAAGCTGCCGGGCCGACTGGTCACTGTGGTGGAGGAGAAGGAGCTGGTGAGGCGACGGCGACAGCAGCGGGGACCGGCCAACGCCCCGGCACCTGGCGTCTCTGAGACGGGTGCCAGCCTGGGAAGCCAGTCTACCTGCAGCGTGTTGGGGCAGGAATCTTCACCTCCCACCAGTGGGCCCTGTGAAGCTCCCCCCTCATCCACACTGCCCACCCAAACCCAGCACCCCTTCATAGCGCGTCGTCACATTGAGCTGGGGGTGACCGGTGGAGGCAGCCCAGAGAATGGAGAAAGAGCACTGCTTGCCATCACCCCACCTGCTGTGAAGCGCCGGAGAGGGAGGCCCCCCAAAAAAAACAGGTCTCCAGCAGATGCTGGGCAGGGGGTTGATGAAGTGTCCTCAAACAGCTCTAAGGGAAAAAGCAATGGGGCTGAACCAGTTTCTGGGGTGGAGACCCTCATTGTTGCGGAACCTGTTATGGGACCCCAGCTTATTCCTGAGCCCCACCCTCTTGGAACCCAGTCAGTTTGCAAACCGGAGCCCATCTTATCACCTGTGGAGAAAAGAAGGCGTGGGCGGCCTCCTAAGGCACGAGATTTGCCCAGCCCTGGGACCATTTCTTCTCCAGGGGATGGCAACTTAGAGAGCCGGACACAGCCTCTACCACCACCCCTGCCATCCTTCCCACCACTCCTAGCCTGCCCCACTGCTACTGTCACCAACACTGTCACCATTTCAACGTCCCCACCTAAGCGCAAGCGGGGCCGACCTCCCAAGAATCCACCATCACCTCGCCCCAGCCAGCTCCCTGTCTTGGACCGTGACAGCTCTTCTGTCCTTGAGAGCTGTGGACTAGGGAGGCGACAGCAACCCCAGGGCCGGGTGGACAGTGAGGGCAGTTCCTCCGATGAAGATGGAGGCCGCCCCCTCACCCGCCTTGCCCGCCTGCGACTTGAAGCAGAGGGGATGCGGGGACGAAAGAGTGAAGGGTCCATGGTGGTGGCTGTAATTCAAGATGACTTGGATTTAGTGGAGAGTGGGCCAGGCGGGTTGGAATTGACGCCTCCTGTGGTCTCGTTAGCCCCAAAACTGCGCTCCACCAGGCTGCGTCCAGGGTCTCTAGTTCCCCCACTGGAGACTGAGAAGGTGCCTCGCAAACGGGGAGGGGCTCCACTTGGTGGGGGTCCTGGGCAGGCAAAGCGGGGCCGCCCTCAGTCCCCAAGTCCCTTGGGACCTGAGGGTTCTATAGAGGAGTCTGAGGCTGAAGCCTCAGGTGAGGAGGAGGAAGGGGATGGGACCCCACGCCGCAAGCCTGGCCCCCGCCGGCTTGGTGGGACCAACCAAGGGGACCAGCGCATCCTGCGTAGCAGTGCCCCTCCTCACCTGACTGGCTCTTCCATTAGTCACAGAGGCCGCAAGGCCAAGACGTGAGTGGCCTGCCCCTCCACCTAGGCTTCCCACCATGGTCCCTCTTCCCCTACAACCAGGCCTGACTCTGTTAACCACTACTTGAAGTCTTGAGGAGGGGAAAGCCTCCAGGGGGCTTAAGGGCCTTCTCCTTTCCACCAAAGTAGAGGGTAGGCATTTGGTTGTCATGGAAAAGTGGCTCTTCACACGCACCCCTCCCTCTCACCCCACATGGCTGGGCAGTGTTAAGGGTGGCAAGATAGTCTCTGTCCCCAAACCCCTGTACTTGATTTCCCAGCTATTCTTTCACAGCCCACCACCCTTAGGGGAAGAGGGAGGGGCTTCTCCACAATGAGGTTGGTTGGTTTTTTTTTTTTTTTTTTTTTTAAAGAAGAAAAAATAATAAACTTAGTTTCTGTACGAGCATCCGCGTAAGGAAGCTTCTGATTTTCTGGTCTGGTGGAGGGTTGGGTGGGAACTTTGGTTTGTTTTTTCCCCCCTCTCCTACTCTAGTCAAGACCCAGTGCCTGGTCTCTAATCCTGGGTTATATAAACACTTCAGGCAAAAATCTCCACACAAGATGGAACATTGGCAAATTTGATCTCCTGGTAGGGTGTCTTCCCCTGAAGTTTCAGGTGTTCAGTCACTTAGAGCCCGCCTTTCCTCTGGATGCCCCCTCAGAGATGCCCCCTCAGAGATGCCCTGGAACTCTGATGTGCAGACCTGCCCCCTTTTATCCTTCTCAGGTGCTTCCTTTCGCTCCTTTCCAGAAGGCAGGCATCCTGCCTCCAGCTGCTCCATCCCTTGACCCTCCCCTGCTTTCCATCCAGCCAAACTGGTTTGAGTCGGCCACACCCAGCTCCTGGGGTTCCTCAGGTGGTGGGGTAGCCACCGAACCCCACCCCTGGGCTTGGCTTGGAGTGGAGTCAGCTTGTTTTGCACCCAAGCCAAATCAAACCTGAGGCAGGAGCCGAAACTCACAGTCCCTCAAGCCCTGTGGCCAGGTAAGAGCCCCTGCTGGCTTCTGCCATTTCTGACCTCAACTCCCTGGACCCTGTGTTCCCAACTGGCTAATATATACCTGTATTAACCTCGTCTGAGTTTGTTCTTCACATCCACTCTGCAGCTTTGTGCCCCACCTTATTCTTTGTTCTCTGCTTTCATGCCTCTCCTTCACCAATGTCGCCTGCATTCAGGGAACTACACATGATCTCGTTTTGTCGAGCTTGTAGGGGAATGGTTGGAGATGACGGTGGGAAGGTGGTTTGATGCCAGAGCTCAGAGGACCTGAGGAATAGGGAGATGAGAGGGTTACGTAGGGCATCATGCTGGTTTCTGTTTGATGATGAGGTCACCGGGCTCCAGGAGCATTCATCTCATTGTGATGGTGGCCTGGGCTAAAATGGAGTGGAGGAGGGAGGCGTCATAACAGAAGAGGCCCTAACCTCGGAGGTGAGGTCTTTCCTGGTGCCCCATTTCCTCAACTATATACAAAAGGCATGGATGGGTGGTCTTTTTTTTTTTTTTTTTTTTCCCTTACCCCACCTGTGAAATGGGTGCTCTACTTGAAGTGGGGTGGAGGACCTATGGTCCTCCTCTCTGATCATCCTTATTACTCTGGGGGCACCCTCTGGGAAACTTCAGGAAACCCTGAGGCCTTTTGATACACAGTTTAAGAAAATCACTGGCTTTGATGATCTCTGGTTCCTTAACGATGTATGAGATTCTGTTTCTCAATGTGCACCTGCCACTATTGCTCCCTGCTTATCAATGAGTACCACAGATAATGCTACTTGCCTCAAAGACTTGGAGGAGTCTGAAGCTGAGGAGAAAAGATTCCAGCCACACACTTCCTCTCCTGGTGTATGTATGAGTCACTGGAGAAATTCCCCAGTAAGGCAGCATTCTTGAGAGTTGGACTCAGCCGTGAGGACAGAATGCTCTGAGAAGGGTGGAGTCCGAGCAAGCCCAGCCAAGGGCTCGGTTTGGGGCTTACGAGTGCCTTGGCTGTTGTCCACAGGTGATGGAGGACGAGGAGAAGGCAATGGAGATCTTGGTGAGCAACCCGGAGGCTGCTCCTTCTCCATCGCCCATGTACTGCTGCTGGCTCCGCCTCCGCTACGTGGCAGCTACTAGCATTATCTGTGGTTGTTCTTGTCTGGGAGTCATGGCTCTTGTGTTTGCCATCAAGGTGAGAAATGCGATTGCAGTGGAAGCAGGTGGTGGGTGTAAGGCAATGGGTTCCTAGATCTGAACTATACATTTATCAGTCGCTGTACCTGCTGATGCTTGGGTCTGGGCCGAGTGCCAGAAATAAGACTAAGACATGATTCTTTTTGTCAAAGGACTCAGAGTCTAATGAAAGAGTTGGCAGTGAAATGGATAAAATAAATAAAATGCAACTCACCAGTGCCATGATAAGGGAAGTCCAGGGTACTCTGGAAGTAGAGAGGATATACGTATGTGGATAGATAGATAGATAGGTAGGTAGGTAGATTGGGGAAGGTATCAAGGAGACCATCATAGGGGAGGTGACAGGAAAATAACCCTAAAAGGATGAATGAATAAGGGTGAAAGGACATTTCCAGGTAAAGGGACTGGACTACTACTTCAGCATGAATGGACAAATGAGGAGATAGTGAGAGATGAAGCCAGAAGGCCCAGATTGTCCAGGGCATCAAATGCTGTGCTTATGATTCTGGGGTTTAACTTGAAAGTCCTTGGGAACCACTCAAAGTGTTTCACAGGGGAGAGTGACACGGTCAGAATTTGTGTTTCAGAAAGATCCACTCTCAAGGCCTGCGTGGAGGGTGAGTTGGAGTTGGGGAGACAGTAAGCAGGGATGAGAGCAATCTTCAGGAGACTAGAAGTAGTTACTGGGTCCTCTGAAATGTCACCATTTCAAAAAATCTACCAGAAACTGCACCTGCACCTCTCTAACTTAAACATCATGCTGATCGTGCTGGAATTTTCTCAACTCATTATGGTGACTCTAGTTGTATTTTATCAAATTAAAAACTGTTTCGATAATCTTAAGAATTTCTAGGTTACATTAGGGCAAAATCATTAAAAGGGTCCTTGATGAAAGAGAGGGGACTCTTTGGGATATTAGAATGGGATGATGTTTGACTGAGTATGTGTGAAATTCTCCAAGCTCACTGGTTCTTGTCAAGAATTCCAAATTCTGAATGACTCTTGGGTGGGTAGAAGAGGATGCAGAATAAAGACTGGAAAATACTATCCCATATGTGATCTTGGGAACTAACCTTGGTCACTCTAAGGAGCAGGCAGGGCAAATGTGAGTACCTTGTTTTGCAGATGAGGTATAAAAGACAGAAGCTGGAAAGGGTTGGTTATTTGTTGGTTATTTGGCCATGAGATTTTGAGGGACGCAGGAATGGGACAAAGGGCACTTTGTGGCAGAAGCAGGGAGAGAATCTAACCTAGAACCTGCGCCCACAGGCAGAAGAGCGGCATAAGGCAGGCCGGTCCCTGGAGGCAGTCCACTGGGGGCGCCGGGCCCGGAGGTTCATCCTGGCTAGCTTTGCGGTCTGGCTCAGCGTCCTTGTTCTGGGACCCCTGCTGCTGTGGCTGCTGTCCTACACCATCGCCCAAGCTGAGTGACTCTGAGTGGCCTCTGCTAAGTCAGCTGAGACCTCCTGGATCCTGCAGTGTGGCGTTGCTGGGGACCAGTTCCAGCAGGGGCCTTGCCTGGTGGAGGGGCTTTGAGAAGAGCTCCTAGCCCTTTATTAAAAGAGGGCAGCAGTTGAGAGGGATGACCCTGCTCTGTTCTTTCAGCACCCACCAAGGACACCCTGTATTTCTATCCCATCCAGAGGACCTCCACCAAGAAACAGGGTTGGAGACCAGGCCTAATTTTATTATAATTTGTTTTGTAATAAAAACTTTTTTTCAGTGGTGAAATGCTCCTAATTGTTCTTCCCTTGCTTACCCCTGGGTGCTTGTTGAGAGCCTAGATGGACCTCCCACTAAGGGCAGAGCCTGGATCTCATCTTATAAAATACTATGGACTGCCAGAAGAATTAACAAATCTGTCCTGGAAGAAGTACAGCCAGGAATGCTCCTTGGAAGTGAGGATGGCCAGACTTCATTTCACTTACCTTGGCCATGTGGTCAGAAGGATCCATTCCTTGGAGAAGGATGTCATGCTTGGTAAAGTGGAGGGTCAGCAGAAAATGGGAAGGCCCCCAACAAGATAGATTGCCACAGTGGCTGCAGTGATTGGCTCAGGTATAGCAAGGATTGTAAGGCTGGCACAGGACTGGGCAGTGTTTCATTCTGTTGTACATAAGGTCACTGTGAGTCGGAGCTGACTTGATGGTTCCTAACAACAAAAACAGCAAGAAGTTGAGCATCACCAGCATTCCCAAACCTCCTTCACATCCCTCCCAGTCACTACTACCTTCCTTTCTTCTCACAGGTAACTACCATTGTGACTTCTAATAATATCATTTGATTTTGCCCACATTTGAACTTCATATAAATGGAACCATATATATTCTTTTTGTGTTTGGCTTCTTTTATTTAACATGTTTGTGACATCTTCTGTGTAGTTTCTATTGCTATGTATTGTTGTTGTTGTTAGGTGCCATCAAGTAGGCTCTGACACATAACAACTCTATGTACAACAGAATGAAGCACTGCCTAGTCCTTTCCCGTAATATATTAGACAGTGTTTCACTGCTATACAGTAGGTTTTCAGTGGCCAATTGTTTCAGAAGTGAATGGCCCCATTCTTCTCCCCAGTCTGTCTTAGTCTGGAAGCTCTACTGAAACCTGTCCACCACGGGTGACCCTGCTGATATTTGAAGTACTGGTGGCGTAGTTTCCAGCCTCACTGCAACATGCAAACCACCACATTCCATTATATGAATACACTGAAGTTTATCCATTATCTGTTGCTTGAATTTTTGAGGTATTCCCAATTTGGAGATACTACGAATCACGTAGCTGTAGACATTGTCTTAAATTGTTTTGGTGTATATATGCCTTGGACCTCTGGTAGTGTAGTGCCTAAGGCATGTGACTGCTAACCAGAAGGCTGGCAGTTCAAACCCACCAGCCACTCCTTGGAAGGAAGGATGGGCAATCTACTTCTGTAGTGATACCGCCTCAGAAACCCAAAGAGGGGTTGCTATGAGTCGGATCTGACTTGATGGCACATAACAACAACATAAATGCCTTGGGAATGGAATTTTTTGATGACCTCACCATAATTCAGAGACCAGCAGAGCGCCTAAAGGAATTAAAGATGTTGCACACTGAAGAGAGATTAGAGGGGAAGAAGAGACACGTGATGGTGGTCTTCAATGTTCTGAAGGAAGGAAAAGTGACAAGAATCCATTGGTGGTCCCAGAGGTTAGAGATTATGATGTAATTGGTCTGAGGTACTGCCTGGACATCCGGACTTTTTATTACTATTGTGATTTGGGTAAAAGTTTACAGAGCAAGTTCATTTTCCACACAGCAGTTCATACACATTTTGTTTCATGACATTGACTGCAATCCCCACGATGTAACAGCTCTCTTCCCACTTCCTCCCTGTGGCTACCTTTTCCCTGTGTCCTCCTTTCCCATGCATTCCCGCCCTCTGAGCTGTCTCCCTGTGCACATACTGCCCTTTTGACCTCTCACGATTGATTGTTCTAAGAAGTGTACGTACCTGGTATAAATGTTCACCCTGTATGCCAACTGCTTGGCTGGAAGACACAGGAGTGTATTCAATTCCAGGTCCGAAGGGTGTCCAGGGGCTATAGTCTTGAGGGTTTCACAACTCTATCAAATCAGTAAGCCTGGTCTTTATGATTTTGAGTTTTGATCCACATTTTTCTCCCACTTTATCAAGCATCTCCTATTTCGATCCCTTTCTGAGTGGTTGACAGTGGTAGCACCATCTAGTTCTTCTGGTCGCAGGATCATATAGTCTGAGGTTCGCATGGTCCACTAGTCCCGTGGACTAATTGTTTCCATGTTCTCTTTGGTTTTCTTCATCCTTCTTTGCTCTGGACGAGGAGAGACCAATTGTTGCATCTTAGATGGCTGCTCACCAAAGGAGGATGTAGAACAATGTTTTCGTGGACTATGTTATGCCAATTGAGCTTGATGGACAGCAGTATTTTTTTTTTTTTTAGCCCTACTGATTCTAGCACACTCTTGTTTGAGAACCACTGCTCTTTAGAAAAGATTTTTTGGTTGTTTTAATGCTACCAACTCCTAACTCAGGAAAGTTAAAAAGACTTAGGGAAAAAAAAAAAATTGAAGCTAATGCTTGATTAATCAGGAGTGTCAATTTACTAGAAGAGAGAATGCATTCCTCCAAACTCCTATTAATTTTGAAAATGTTTCAATCAATAAAAGACCAGTACCCTGAACTCCTTTATCAAGATTTATAGTTTTTAACATTTCACCACTTTTGTTTTATATCTTCTACATAGTCATTGTTAATGCTGAACTATTTGAAGTTAATCTGCAGGTTCTACATCCCTAAATACTTTGTAAAAATGGCATGGGGACATCTTACAGTAACTTCATTAGGGTCAGGGCATTTCAGAGATCAGAGTTAGAAAATACCTGATTTTATCTATTTTGAATCCAGTTTTCAGTCATACTTCCACTTCCACCCCAACATCATAGAGCTCTTTCTGTCCTCTGCCCCCTCCAACCCAAACTCCATATTCACACGGGAAGAACCCTCACGCCCAACGATAGGAAGAAGAAAAAAAAATTAACAACCAGAACTTACTAACTTGCTCATTTTCAGAATGATTACCCTATCTTACTCCCAACAACAAACCTAGTAAATGAAGTTCAAGACTTCTCCGAAGTACTTTTGTCTTTAGATTCGTGGTATAAAGTCAAAAGTACTCTGTTTAAAAGTTACTTGGATTTGTTTTTCTCCCCTTGTATGGTTGTAATCCAAGTGACATCTTACATAGCTGCTGGAAGACAACTGTTTTCTGTACCTCCTTTACATAACCTCTACAAAGTCCTACAAAGAGCAGGGACTCCTTATTTATTTGTTTTTATTGTTAGTCCAAGGCTTAGCGCCTACATGTTCAACAAATATTTGTTGAATGAGTAAGTGAATGCCAGGGCCGAGTTGTGCACTGAGAAGGCTTATTAAGTCGCTCCTGGAAGAAGCTCACAACCTATGCGCTAGAATAGAGTAGTGATAACACCCGAAGGCTTTGGGAAGGTGTGGTGAAAGCTTGGGAAGCTGTGTCACCTCAGATGGTGGACGCGAGGGCTTTGGAGGTACTCAAGGGAGGCCGTGGCTTGTCTCAGTCTGCACCAGGTGGCCGCTGCTTGCGTGCGTCCGAACGTTTTCAGGACTGGAGGCTGCTTCGCGAGGCGGGCACTTTGGATCGGACTGCCAATAAAAAAAAGAATTGACCTCAGACAGGGATGCTGGGAGGAGACCATGAGCAGGGTGCAGGAACAAGAGGCGCAGTTAAGGCCTGCGTCTTGGCTGCCCAGAGGTCAAGCTACCCCGGAAACTTAACTTCCGGGTCCCACTCCAGGCCTCCAACCTCACTTGACAACAAGCTCCACCCTCTACCGCTCGTGCGATGATTGGCTGGATCTGAAGACCCGCCCCAGCGTCGTAGCCCTGGGTAACTTGGGAGCTCAAATACCCGCTCCAGCTGCGGGACTCTTGGCTTCCTATTGGGCTACCAGTTTCCAATCAGAAGGGTTTCTGAACCTCAGTCTTCAGCCGGCACTGGCCATTGGCCGGCAGAAGAAGGGCGGGCCGAAGTCTTTGCCGGCGGCGCCAGGGGGTAAGTGACTGGAGGCGAACCCGGCGACCCAGTGGCCTCGCCGCAACCCAGGACTCGCTCTCCGTCCCCGCGGGTGAGCCTGCACGAGACCTCGTTCCCCAGCTCAGCGCCTGGCAAAGTGCGCCTGCGCGGCAACAGCCACCCGCCCTAGTGCCCCTTCCCCTTATTCCTTGACACCTTTTTCCTTCCCCTCCCCCGTCCCTTTCCCTTTCCCTGGTACCCCCTCCCTCAGGACCCTGAGGCTGGGTCTCCGGGTCCCGATCCTTCCCCTGCCCCCCCCCCCCCCCCCCCCCCACTCGCCCGAGACACTGGCGCCCCAGCCGCCAGGCCTGCGCCTCCGGGAGCCGCGATGTGCGTCCTCTCAGAGCCTGTGGGCCTCCCTGCCCTCACTGCCTTCCGTTTCCTCCGCACAGGCCCCCACCTCTTTCAGAATGACGCTGGACGTGGGGCCGGAGGATGAGTTACCGGACTGGGCAGCGGCCAAGGAGTTTTACCAAAAGTACGATCCTAAGGACGTCATTGGCAGGTGAGGCCGCGGCCGAGGAAACAGATATCCAGAAAGATCGTGTCTTAGCCAGTTCCTTCTGGGGCTTACTCACTGTCGTGGAGTCATAGCGACCCTATAGCAAAAAAGTACCGCTTCATTGGGTTGCCAAGGCAACAGAGGGCCACGTCTTTCTCCGGAGTAGTGGCTGGTGGATTTGATCTGCCGGCTTTTCTGTTAGCAGCCGAGCGCTTTAACCACTGCGCCACCGGGGGCCCTTCTGCTTGGGACTCAAGTTTGAGTCATAGCGACCCCTCCTTAGCTTTCCGAGGCAGTATCTCTACAGAAGTAGATTTTCCAGTCTTCCTTCCCAGGAATGGCTGGTGGGTTTGAGCCTCCAGCCTTCTGGTTAGCAGTCAGATGCCTTGGGCACTATTTCTGAATGGAAAGGGGACCATTTGATGACCAGACCGTTATTCTAGGTGAACCCTTATTTTTTCACAGATTCTTACTTTCATTTATGCTTTCAACAAACGTGCCAGACAGGAAGCTAAACGTGCAGTTTCTGTGGGCAGTGAGGGGGAGAAGATGTTGTCTATGCCTGGAGTTAACTCCAGGTGAAGTGGCGGAAAAGAGACTCATGAACTGACAGAGGGTATTTATGTTAGAGATCTGTACAAAGTGCCATGGGGTCCCAGAGAACTGGGGAGTTACTGCTAGGGGATAGTTTCTGGAGGGGTGATATTTGTACCGGGTCTTGAAAAATGAGTCGGAATTCAGCATTCAAAGAATGGAGGGAAGTTCTCACCCATAGAGGCAGTGGCAGATAGGTTTATTGGTGAAAGGTTTCTTAAACATACACTGTTTGCTGGGTGCACTGGACCCACAAGATTGCTGTCCTAACAGAGTTTGCAATCTAGTGGTAGAGACAGAAAATAAGCGTGAGAAAAGATAAACATTGATGGAGGTACTAAGGAGGAAATAAACAGAATGACAGAATAATTGACGGAGATCACTGTGGATAGGGAAAGGAGCTCTGGCAGTGCTGTGGTTAAGGCACTGGCCTGCTAACCAGAAGGTAGGCGGTTCGGATCCACTAGCTGTTCCATGGCAGGAAGATGAGACGGTCTGCTTTGGTAAAGGTTTGTAGCCTCGGAAACCTGATGGGGGTCACCATGACAATCAACTCGATGGCAATGGGTTTGGGGAGGCCTGGGAAGGCGCCTCTGAGGAGTGAGTTTTGACATAGCTCCTTTGACCAAACTTTTCACCAGTTCTAACACATAGAATGCATCCCTTCCATGCAGAACTCACAGACTATACTCACAGTCATGAACTTTATTAGGGAAGTAACAAGTTACAATGCTGGCCCAGGAACAACTCAGAATACAGTTTTTTGATCAGGGCAGCATCTTCTCAGGCGTGCCTGCAGGCAGGCCTCTCTGGCCCCTCAGCCTGGCCTCTGCCTTGCTTGGATAAGTGTTACAAAGTTCTTTAGCTCTGCTAATAAGTGCCCAAAGACACCCTACTTTGCCAGCAAGGCTCTCTCTGAAGGAATTAAGCTCTCTTGTGCTGTGGCTAGCTCTCTTGACAAGTAGCTGGAGGCACCCCACTCTGCCAGGAAGCCTCCTGCTCAGCTCTCTTACTCCAAGTTGGCACATCACTGGAACCACCTTACTCCGTGGACTGGGAAGCCCAGTCGGCTATCCCGTGCCAGTCTCCTGGTTCTGCTGCCAATGTTTCTGTGCCACTGTTTCTCATTGCCTTGTGCCATCTCTGGTGTTACAGCTTTTTCTCTATTTTCTGAATCTAGGAGGGACTCAGCACAGGGACCTTGGGTCCAAAAGACAAGCTCTCTGCTCCCATCTATTCTTGGTAGTAGTGAGGTCCCCCTTTCCACTTCTGGGATGGCTTCTTTTAAGCCTAACAGGATGGCAAAACTGCCCAATCCCTTTGTTAGGGTTTCATGCACCTTATTTTCATGTTCCTACCCCCACAATGCCCCTTATTTGTATTATTAGCAAGTTGTCCAATCTCCTTGATGGGTCACAGGCACCTTATTTGTATAGTCCCACCTAATCATTTGATGGGAATTACAAGACAGTGGTGAGAAAGGCCATATAAAAGCAATCCATCATACCGTACCATCTGTTGAATGTTGCTCGCAACAGGAAAGAATACCAAGGCATGTCCATTAGAGTTGGCCACATGCCTTTTAGGTATCACATGGAGATATCAATAAGGCACTTGCAATCAGGAATTCTGGAGAGAAATAGAGAAATCTAGCCTGGAGACAGGGTAGCGGGAGTCATTTGGATATAGTTAGTATTTAAAGTTCCTGGGGCTGAATGGAAGTCACCAGGAAAAAGAGAGTCTTAGGAAAAGAGAAAAGAGCCCAGGTTCAAGCCTTGAAGTGCTACAGGATTTTAGGGCCAGGTAAAGGAGGATGCACTGAGACTGGGAAGAACCCACAGGGAAAGACCGGAGGAGACTCCACTGCTAGGGGAAATAGGAAGACCAGTTTTGGAGGATGCAGTTCAGAGGGTAGGGTCCTTATCACCTGTTCCAAGATTATTGTGATAGTGCCAAAAGGACATGGGGTGGCATCCTCTGACCTCTAACTTCACAAGGGGAAGAGAAGGATCAATAGCAACAGCTTAAAGCTGATTCCTGTGAGGTGAAAGTCAGACATGCTGCCCGCCTCCAAACTTTTTTTTTTTTTTGACCAGTTCTGATCCCAACTGTCCCTTGGTATCAGGGGTATCGTGGTAACTGTACCATGGCACTCTACTCCTCTGCTGGATTCAATATTCATTGCAATGGCCCCACAAAACTCATAGACAATACTCATGGTTATGGAGTTTGTTAGGGAAGCAACAGTTACAATTCAGGTTCAGGAACAGTCAGGATATAGTTCTTCAATCAGAATACCCTCCTCTCTGCCATGCCTGCAGGCATGTCTCTCTTTGGCCCTTGGCCTCTCTACCTGGCCTCTGCCCTGCTCCGGAAAGTGTTAAAAAGCTCTTTTAACTCTGCTGATATGTGCACTCGGCCCTCAAGCCTTTTGCCCAAAGGCACTCTGCTTTCTTGCTTCATGGGCCAGCAAGCCTGCCACTCTGTCTTGTGTTGGTCTTTCAGTCCTATTGCTGCCTTCTCCTCTTCTCAGTGCAGGGACCCAAACAAGGGCACGCTCCACTCCTGGCTTTTCCTTCTTGGTGGTAGTGAGATTTCCCCTCCTGCCCCTGGGAGGGCTCATTTTAAGCCTAGCAGAATGACAGAAAAGACCAATCCTTACATTAGGGTTCCACACACCTCATTTGTACTGTCCCACCCCCACAAGGGACCTCGTACCTTATTTACATTATTAGCAAACTATCCAATCCACTTGGTGGGCCACAAGCACCTTATATCTGCATGGTTCTACCCAGTCATCTGGTGGGAGACACAAAGACCATGACTAGAAGAGCCACACCAAGTAATGAACTGTACCACAGGTAACCTTTTCTTTTTCTTCTTGATTTTTTTTTTCTGTACTTTATCACCAAATTAACTCACCCAGAGTGCCAGTTTCTTCATGTGTTCAGGTATGAGACATTGAAAGAGCTTATATGTGTATTTGTGCTACAAAGATATCTGTATACATCACAGAAGTAACAGGGGACAAGGTTGGAGTAGCTTCTCAGTGACAACCAAGCACCTTTAGGGAGAGAGTCACTGGGCCTGTGGTCTTGGAGGACATCAAGCTCAACTGGCACAACATAGTACATCAAAGTGTTGTTCTACATCCTACTTGGTGATTAGTGACTGGGGTCTTAAAAGCTTTTGAGCAGCCTTCTAAGATGCAGCTATTTGGTCTCCTGTCATCTGGAGCAAAAAAGAGTAAAGAAAATCTGAGTCATATGGAAACAATTAGTCCAAGGGTATGATAGACTATTGGAACCTAAGCCTGCACGACCCTGAGACCAGAAGAACTAGATAGTGCCCAGCTACCAATGCCAACCACTCAGAAAGGGATCAAAACTAGAGATCTGGATAAAGCGGGAGAAAAATGTGGAACAAAATTCAAAAACAGAAATGATCAGAACTAATTATTGGATAGAGACTGGTGGAACCCCTGAGACTATGTCCCCAGGTTATCCTTTGGGTCTAGAACTGGACTCACTTCCATGGATTGGCTCTCAGCCAAACAGTAGAAAGGTCTATAAGCAGAACACCTACCCCAAGGAGATGTACCCGCCTACCCCAAGGAGATGAGTGCCTTAGATCAGTCAACCCTGAGACATCAGAAGGGCAGCATTCACATAGAGGAAAAGCTGGACAGACAGGACTGCCTAGATAAGGACAGAGGGAAGGGGTAGTCACAGGGAGGAGACAGGAGGAGAGCTTTAGGAAAAAAAAAAAAAAGCTTGGCAAATTCTGATTAGAATTGTTGACTAATTTTGCGTCACTCAAACAGATTGGATAGCAGAGTTCTGTCAAAAGATAAGGCAAAAAGAGACTAAGAGCATCTGGTGAGGGGTTAAGTGACAGGTGAAGGCACTGGGTTTGATTTATATCTTGTAAGAAATAGGGGGAGTCATGGGAGGAAAAGAATTTTGAGTCTACCCTACAGCTAACAGTAAGTTTGAAAATATTCAGTGTCATGACAAAGAGGATAATTGTTCCAGTGATCCTGCTGAGAAATGAGGAAACACTTAGAACTTGGGAGAGAATTTAAGCTGGGAGGTTTTTAAGCAGCAAGTGACACGGCTGGGGCTGTTTTAGGAAGCACATTCTGGAAGCAGGTGAGAGATGGTTTACAAGAGCTGAGCCGGGCAGTAGGAGTATCAGTGAGGCTATTGTCCAGATGAGAGAGTTAAGTGCTTTGAACCTTGGCAGTGGGAGCAAAGCACTGTTGTTGTTGTTGTTACGTGCCATATCACCACGGAAGTAGATTGCCCAACCTTCCTTCCGAGGAGTGGCTGGTGGGTTTGAAACACCTGCCTTCTTTCTGGTCATCAGTCAGGTGCCTTAGGCACTATGCTACCAGAGCTCCACTAGGAAACAGAATTGAGAGAGATTCAGAATTGATGGGACCAGTTGGATGTGGTGGATTGTGAAGAAGAGGGAGAAGCCAAGAACAGTATCAAAGTTCCTGGGTTCTCTCAAGGAATGAAATCAGTGAAACACGCACACATGCACGCACATGCATGCATGCACAGTCATGCGTCACATAACATCTCCATACGACATCTGTGGTCCCGACCATCATAAAGCCTGTTGTATTAAAAATCTGAGGTACACACAATAGTTTGTAATAACAAATGGGTGCTACTTTGCAATATACATCAAAACATTATTTTTCTCAAAAACTCAAAGCCATTGAGTTGATTCTGAGTCATAGTGACCCCACTGGATTTCCAAGGCTGTAAATCTTTATGGAAGCAGACTGCCAAATCTTTCTTCCGTGGATCAGCTGGTGGGTTTGAACTAGCGACCTTTTGGTTAGCAGCCAAATACCTGAACTGCTACATCACCTTTTTTTTTTTTTTTTTTACATCACCTTTATTATTATTTTTAGGGTATAAACTAAAAGATGTTTTAGTGTCTCTGGAAGTGTTTCTTTAATGTTTTTTAACCATAGAAAGCTACACTATACTCTGTATACTAAGACAAGCATTTGAATGATGTTAGATATGAACCCTACCTAACTGTTCCAATTTACATACTGTCATAAATTTGACTTAAAGACAGACTTAGGAACAGAACTTGTTCATAATCTGGGGACTGCTTGTGTATAATATGGTGTTCACACAATGTGCAAATCATGCAACGTAGTATATCACAGAACCTATTGTAGATGTTGAGCGATACATGACTATGTGTATATGTTGTTGTTATGTGCTGTCCAGTCAGACCCAACTCATAGCAACTCCTCCTTGGGTTTCTGAGGCAGTATCACTATGGAAGTCGATTGCCCAACCTTCCTTCTGAGGAGTGGGTATGAACCACCAGCCGTGTGTGTGTGTGTATATATATAGAGAGAGAGGAAAATTTACTTCAGGAAATAGCTCATGTGATTGTGGGGCTGGTAACAGGCTGAATGAAGACGTCTGCTGGCTCGTGTGGTTGCAGGGGCTGATGAACCCAAAATCTGCAGGTGCACGAAGGACATGAGGGCAGCGTCTTCTGACCTCCTCTAACTTCACAAGGGGGATATGGATGCACTATCAGCAGCCAAAGGCTTATTCCTATGAGGCCAGACATACCCTCTAGCCTTTTTACCAACTCTGAGCCAAGTCCTTCCCATCCCTCCCACTGCACTCACTACTTCTCTGCTGGATTTGCTGTTTAGTTGCAGTGGCCACACAGAACTCACAGACAATACTCATGGTTATGGGGTTTATTAGGGAAGTAACAGGCTACAAATTCAGGTTCAGGAACACGTTCAGGATACAATTCTTTGATCAGGACGTCTCCCCTCTGCTATACCCTCAGGCACGCCTCTCTGGCCCTTGGCCTCTTGGCCTGGCCTCTGCCTTGCTCAGGCAAGTGTTAAGAGCTCTTTTAGTTCTGCTGATAGGGGCACCTAGGTGCACCCCACTCCGCCAGCAAGCCTCCTGCCCAAAGGCACTCAGCTTTCTTGCTCCATGGGCTGTCAAGCTCACCACTCCGTCCTGTGCCTCTTGGTTCCTTGGCCGGCTCTCTCTTCTGGGATGTCTCTTCTGGTTGTCTCTGATATCTCACTACCAAGGAGATCCAGTGCAGGGGTCTCAGGTCCAAGGACACTCTCCACTCCACCTCCAGCTCTTCTCTCTTGATAGCAGTGAGATCCCCCTCTTTACCTCTAGCAGGGCTCATTTTAAGCCTGGCAGAATGAAAAAACTAACCAATACCCCACATTAGAGTTCCATACACCTTACTTGCATGGCCCCACTCAGTAATCTGGTGGGGGTCACAAAAACTGGTTAGAAAAGCCATACCAACTAATTCACTGCACCACAGCAGGTCAGGCAGCAGGCTACAGACTTTGACAGGCTTACATCCCAAGAACTGGAGGGCAGGCAACAAGAAGAGTGTAAGGCTGAGAAATGAGCTTTCCCAGAAAATCCATTTCTGTGCTGGAGGCAAGTTACACCCCAAAGGAAACCTCCTTTTCACATGATCACAAAATGGAAGGTGATTACAGGTAGTCCCCAATTTACAGTGGGTTCTGTTCCGATAATGCCATCGTCAATCAGTTCTGGTAGAAGTTGAATTCCTCAGTTGAATTCCTCTTTTTTTTTTTTTTTTTTTAGTTTTCCTTATTGCTGCCTTTTATCATCAGTATCTTAATAAATCTGATCTTTGTTTGTCTTTGGGGGTTGAAAACATTACATATAAACATCTGTGAGTCAACATTTGAGAATGATAACATCAGCAAATTACACACTACAATATTGTATGCAGTACAAAACAGACGGCCAGAAGTTCAGTTCATCATAATGTAGAATGTTGTAAGCAGGGGACTAACTGTGCATAGTGTCTGCTAAACTGAGAGTCACAGCCTAGCCAAGTTGACACAACATTAACCATCACAGTTTCTAAGTAGTGAGTCTGACTGGATGGCAGTGCCTCCCATTGAGATTAGGAATATGGAAAGAGAAGTTTTCAGGGAAGGATAAAGTGTTCAGAGTCATGACGAGCGTTAGTATCTCCAGGACCCGAGAAGACATGTAGGCTTGATACTTAGGGAGAGGATCTGGGCATAGCGGTTGAAGTTACCGAGGTGGAGACAGGATTACTTTTAGGAAGAGTGAGGGCCTGAGAAAAGGGCCAAGGATGGGACCCTGGGGAATTTGACATTTAATTAAGGGATGGGCAGAGAACAGAGTGTATGTATCAGTAGAAAGAGTTTGGATTTTGGGTCCAAAGACCTAGGTTGGAATCCTGGCCTTCCTACACAGATAGCCGTGAGACATAATAATAATAAAAAAAAAACCCAAACTCACTGCCATTGAGTTAGATCCAACTCATAGAGAGACCCCTCCTTGGGTTTCCGAGGTGGTATCACTATAGAAGTAGATTGCCTAATCTTGCTTCTGAGGAATGGCTAGTGGATTTGAACCGACACCCTTCTAGTTAGCAGTCAGATGCCTTAGGCACTACACCAGGCTTAATTATTTGAGAGAAAAATAAATGGCAGAGAAGGGAATGGTCCCTTCCTGCTAGAGAAGAAACAAATGGGATGAAAGATGTAGTTTTTAGTTTGGGCCATAAAGCAGGGAGTCTTAGCTGGATGGCTTTCGGGGAGTCTTTGAACCTCTGAAATTAAAAAAAAAAAAGTACGTGTGTGCTACAGGTCTCCAGCTTTCATCAGGTGCCCAAAGAGATTCATTAAAAGATGAGTAAGACGACCAGTGGCCTCAAACTCAAATACCCTTAGTGACTGGACAGGAAATTAAAACCGTGAAGAAGCTAAGAATAAGACAGGAAACAGTGAGTGGTGGCTAGAGAGTTCTTAACCCTGCAGAAAATACACGAATTCACATTTATAAGGAACATTGTGCTGGCCAAACTGTAGGCTGTGTTTGGCCCGATGGTCAATAGTTTGCCCTTGATTTAGTTAAACATGTGGGTAGCAGGCATTCCAAGCAAAGGAAGTTGTATAAGGGGAAGGAGACCCACGAGGGCTTAGCAGTACAAGCATATGAACGGCTCCGGAGGGAACCCACTTCAGAGAGGTGGCTTGAGACCAGATCCTGGAGGGATTTGAATCTCAGCCTGAGGTGTTTGTAGGGCCGTGGAGAACTGGTGAGGAGCCAGAGCAAAACCCTCTAGCACTTTCTCTTTGCCATGCCAAATAGGCCTTCCCATCGCCTTACCCCGTAACACCCCTTTGAGGTGTTGGCTGCATTTCAGAGCTGATGAAGTTGAAACCCAGAGACCTATGACAGTGGGTCAGTTGCAGGTTATTTAGTAAGTCCCCTAATTCTCAACTTCGGTCTTCCAGGTATTTGTCAGTCTCCTGCACATAAGGTATTGTAGGGAACTTTGGAATATGGAAGGAGCTTTGGTGGCGTAGTGCCAAAGGCATTTGACTGTTAACCAGAAGGTTGGCAGTTCAAACCCACCAGCCACTCCACTCAAGGAAGACTACTGTAAAGTAGAAAACCCTTGGAAACCCAAAGGGGGTTGCTATGAGTCAGAATCGACTCAATGGCAGTCCGTTTGGTTTTTCGGTTTTGGAATATGGATGAAGTGATCAGGGGGCTTTAGATCATTTCGTCCCATCTCCTCGTGGGAGTGCAGGGCAAGGGACAGGTTCTGGGCCTCAGCACAGGGAGGGCTCACCCAGGTTTACCCACGGAAGGGGTGGCAGAGCCTGGATCAGAGCCTGGGTCCCCTGCCTGCTCTCCCTGTGAGCCGTTAGCTGCACCGTGCTGGGTGCCCAGGTTCCTGAGGCTACTGTAGGCCACAGTGAGCCCCCTGGTGAGTGTCTTGTTGTCCAGATGAGTCTTGGGAGTCTGGTGCTGTGGGTGGAAGGGTGCTGAGGCTCTGCTGTCTATGGACACGGGAAGGCAGGAGGCCCTGACTTGTGCAATTGCCTGGCTTTGGCAGAGGGGTGAGCTCTGTGGTCCGCCGTTGTGTTCACCGAGCCACTGGCAACGAGTTTGCAGTGAAGATCATGGAAGTGACAGCCGAGCGCCTAAGTCCCGAACAGCTGGAGGAGGTGCGAGAAGCCACTCGGCGAGAGACGCACATCCTGCGCCAGGTCGCCGGCCACCCCCACATCAGTGAGGCTGCATTCCCTGCTCCTGATAGCGGACTACCCCACTGCCTGCTGGCCCTGCCCACAGACCACTTCCCCGATGGTGCCTTCACGCCGGTGCCGCTGGCTCTGCTCCACCTCAGAGAGTGGCCAGCCTTTGGGTCCCTACTGTCTCCTTCGGTTCTCCTTCCTTCCCAGTAACAGCCCACTGTCGTCTCCGGGTGGAAAAGCCCCTTTAATATGTAATCTGCTCCTTCCCATCTCTGTCTCTCTGCCTTTCTACCTCTTTCCCCAGTCACTCTCATCGATTCCTACGAGTCTTCTAGCTTCATGTTCCTGGTGTTTGACCTGTGAGTATCTCCCTGCTCCCTACTCCCCGCCTCCATGCATGGTCCCAGCCTTACCCTACAAAGAGCTGGAGACCACCCTGCCCACACCTTCTTCTGCCCCGGCTAGGGCCCTATCACCTTGGCCTGCCTGCCAGCTCATGGCTCTAACTCCTCCCCCTGGGTGCTAAGGTGGAGGCAAGTTCATAAGAAGAACTTAAGATGGAGCAGTAGTGAGCAGTCACATTCAAAGGGTCCTCATGACCTGAGGGGACACTGTTCCAGTGCCCATGGTTATAGGGTTAGCAGGGAAGTGAACTGACCACGCGACTATCCTGCCTTATTTAATACTAGTGTCTGTCCCTGGTCATCCATTCTTCATCTGGACGGTCTGAATCTGAATGTTACATATTATATAATACAAAGCAAACAGTTGCAAAGGTACTCCAACAGAGAATGCTTTGAATATCACAGATTTCAGTGAGGCCTTTGGAAAAATTCACAAAGCCTTCAATACAATCACACAAGTGACCCTCTGCAAAAGTCAGGGTGGAAGTATGCAGTGTGTTACACCATCGTGTAACTTTAAGAACAAGGTCACTCCTCAAAACGGCTTCTGAGGTGTTTCAGCAGGTTCAGTTGACCTGGCATTGTCATTATAACCTCAGTTTTTAAAGATTTAAGATAAAATAAGCAAAATTTCAAAATCAGCTTTTTTCCACTATTAACTATGAAAATTTGGTCTATAAATTATTTTGTCTATAAATTATTATAAATAGATTGACTTTAAGAGGTCTTTTCTGAGTGCAGTTATTCTTAGTTAACAAGGACCTCCTATAAATTATGGTCACAAGAAGGCATTTATTCTTGCTAAAATAGCCCCATGATGGCATAATGCAGATATTTCAACCTCCAAGCCACTGGGCCAAATTGCCCCTGGCATGCAGTTCCATCTTGGAGTGCTGTCTCAAGACCTTTTGGTTTAGCTGTGGCGGAATCTCTTCACCAGCCTCTTCCATCGTATTTTTCGTGGGCGCTGGCTTATTTTTTCAACCCCACTGTGGGGTGCATCTACCTCCATGCCCCTCCTATCCCTTAGGATGCGGAAGGGAGAGCTGTTTGACTATCTCACAGAGAAGGTCGCCCTCTCAGAAAAGGAAACCAGGTAATGGCCGGGCCTGCAGCTCCTGGCTGAGCAGGGAGTGGGAGGGGCAGGGAGAAACAGAGGAGGGGCTTGTCCCACCCCCAGGTCCGTCATGAGGTCTCTGCTGGAAGCAGTGAGCTTTCTTCACGCCAACAATATCGTGCACCGAGACCTGAAGCCTGAGAATGTTCTCCTGGATGACAACATGCAGATCCGACTTTCAGATTTTGGGTTCTCCTGCCACTTGGAGCCTGGCGAGAAGCTGCGAGGTGAGACCTGGTGCACTAAGAGGCTTGGGAGGGAAGAGGCCAGGCCTGAGGTGGGCTAGGACTGAGCCCGAGGTACCAAGGAATGGGGAGAAGTCAGTGTACACTCGCCATGTACTCTCTGGGTGCAAACCCTCTGTGTATGACTCAGTATGGGCTTCCTGACCTAGAGAGCGTAGAGACAGACGAGTGAGCGATGGCAGAGGGACACGAAGAGCAGGGAGCGCCTGACTCAGCCTGGGCCACTCACAGAGACGCAGGCTCCAGAGCTGGGCCTAGCTGGGAGGTTGGGTTTGTCCAGGGAGGAAAAGAGGGAGTAGGGAGGGCCAAGGCTCAGCAGTGTGTTTTTTGGGGAAAGGGCCAAAGCATGCTGCTAGGGTGTTGTGAGAGCCTGACACGGCCAGACAGCATTTCCCACCTGGAGCCCTGGGAGTCAGGCTCACCTGATGTTAATACATTTGTCATGATGGAAATATTCCTACTGCAAATGGGAAATTTTAATTGTGGGTCTTCTCAGAGTCTTTAATATGCTGTCTCCCTTTGCACTGGACTTACTAAATAACTAGCATTTACCAGGTGCTGCTCATGAGCTAGGAGCCCTGATGGCACAGTGATTAAGTGTTCAACTGCTGAAAGGTTGGTAGTTAGAACCCACCATCTGCTCTGAGGCAGAAAGGTGGCAGTCTGTTTCCATAAAGATTAATGGCTTTGGAAACCCCATGGGACAGTTCTCCTCTGTCCTATAGGGTTGCTGTGAGTTGGCATCAGCTGGGCGGCAGTGAGTTTGATTTTATTATGAGCTGGGTACCATACTGTCTGCACAGCTTATTTCTGGGGCTCTCTCAACATTAAAAGAAACTAACCCTACAAGATAGTGCTCATGTCTCCATCTCATGGATGAGCTTGAGGTAGTGAGGGGACTTGACTTGCCCAGGGACCTGTGGCCGGGATTCAAACTTGGGCAGTCTGACTCCAGAGCCCATGCTCTTAACTTGTGGATGCTGTGTGTTCCCTCCCGGCTATCACGTATACTTTCCCGCTTCTGGAATAATCATTATTCCTCTCCCTTTAAAGTTCCAGGGCAGGTTAGGTCCCTGAAGTGTGTGCTTTCCTTCTTCTCCCTTTGTGACACGTTTGCTTTCTGATGGCCAGTGCTATGGGGGCACATCTCTCTGATTCACTCTGTCCCTAGTTTGGTGCTTGGTATGTGCAGGTGTTCAGTAAATACTTAGTATAGTATAGGAATGAATTTCCCAAGAGTTCTTTTTGATCAGACCTATTAAGATCTTCTGGAAATGTGCCCTGGGATACAGCTTGGAAACTGCTGGGTTGCTAGAACCGGTGCCTGGGAGCAGAAGAAACTAAAACCAAGGCTGGGACAACTCGTGGAGGGCTTGGTGCTGTAGAAGTCTAGGCTCGATCCTACCGCATTGGTGGAGAGCCATGTTGTTGTTTTGCCGTCAAGTTGGGCCCAACTCATAACGACCCCTCCTTGGGTTTCTGAGGCAGTATCACTACGAAAGTAGATTGCCCAACCTTCCTTCCAAGGAGTGGCTGGTGGGTTTAAACCACCAGAGGCTTGATCCTACTGCATTGGTGGAGAACCATGTTGTTGTTTTGCCATCAAGTTGGACCCTACTCATAGCGACCCCTCCTTGGGTTTCTGAGGCAGTATCACTACGAAAGTAGATTGCCCAACCTTCCTTCCAAGGAGTGGCTGGTGGATTTAAACCACCAGAGGCTTGATCCTACTGCATTGGTGGAGAGCCATGGAAAGGTTTTAAACAGGGGATTTAACTAGTATGTGCTTTAGAAATTCCCATGTTCCCACTTGCTTTCCTCGGGTTGAGCTGTCTGGCTAACCAGTGGAGATTACAGGAGGATGAAAAGGTTTGGGCAGAAAAGTATATTAAAAAGACTTTTGTTTTTTATGCTCTGTATGTAAAAACTTGGTAGCAAACAAGTTGTGTGAGGAATAGGGAAGGGTAGTCGTAGGTTGGATTGTCTGGAGGGTTAGAAGAAGCCAGTGATACAGTTAGGTAAGATCTTGAAGTCCTGGGCAGAAATTGAGGAAGGACCCAGGAGCCTTGGTGGGCATTTGACCTGTTGGGCAGTGACAGATGGTAGTACTGGGACTCCGCAGAGGGCAGGCTGGAGCACGACGGGGGTCACTTGTGGCCGGGACAGTGCTGAGGAGGACCCAGCAGACTGGGTGCTCGGGCCCTGGCTGGGGCTGGTGGCACCCCCTCAACCTCTGCCCTCTCTCTCCAGAGTTGTGTGGGACCCCGGGGTATCTAGCACCAGAGATCCTTAAATGTTCCATGGATGAAACCCACCCAGGCTACGGCAAGGAGGTCGACCTGTGAGTTCCTGGTGTCCCCCAGCACGAGGTGTACTGTCCTTCAACACACTTGTCCCTGACTCCCCCCCCACCCCACCCTCCCCAGTCCTGCCTAACTGGTCTTCTTCCAGCTGGGCTTGCGGGGTGATCCTGTTCACACTCTTGGCTGGCTCCCCACCCTTCTGGCACCGGCGCCAGATCCTGATGCTGCGCATGATCATGGAGGGCCAGTACCAGTTTAGTTCACCTGAGTGGGACGACCGTTCAGACACCGTCAAAGACCTGGTGAGCTGGGGCCGAGAGAGGGCAAGGGGGAGGCCCAGGAGCTGTCCTCGAGTGCTGGGCTTTCCCCTAGATCTCGAGGCTGCTGCAGGTGGATCCCGAGGCACGCCTGACGGCCGAGCAGGCCCTGCACCACCCCTTCTTCGAGCGCTGTGAAGGCAGCCGGCCCTGGAACCTCAGCCCCCGCCAGCGGTTCCGGGTAAGCCTGACTGTCCCGGGGCTGGGCTTGTTCCTCTGCCCTTTGAGCCTTCGATGGCAGATGCTCCACTGGCGCTCCCCGTCCCACTTCCCAGGTGGCGGTGTGGACAGTGCTGGCTGCTGGACGAGTGGCGTTAAGCATGCAGCGCATACGGCCCCTGACCAAGAGTGCGCTATTGAGGGACCCTTATGCGCTGCGGCCAGTGCGGCGTCTCATCGACAGCTGTGCCTTCCGGCTCTATGGGCACTGGGTGAAGAAGGGCGAGCAGCAGAACCGGGCAGCCCTCTTCCAGCACCGACTCCCAGGGCCTCTTCCTGCCACAGGCCCCGAGGAGGAGGGGGACTCAGCTGCTAATCCAGAGGCTGAGGCTATGCTGGTGCTGGGCTAGGGCCTCAGCCCTGGGGAGTTCCAGGAAGAACTCTCCCGGAGGAGGATTTTCATCACTTAGCCCCTTTGGGCTCTGGCGGGAAGCCCCCATGCCTGGCCAGACCTACCACTGATCATGCTACTATCATAAAGACCAACCCTGCACACCTGCTCCCACTAGCCAGGGCTGTGAGATCAGAGCTGGGGTGGAAGGGAGCCACCTGGAAGGTCATGCCCGGCCTCATCAGTGCTACCTGTGTACCGCACGGGCACAGGAATAAAATCTGCGTGCCAGGGAGAGCGGGTGCTCTGTGTGGTATCTGGCTGGGGCAGGGAAGCCCGGAAGGTGCTCAGGAAGGGGAGGGTGGGGATGGCGCAGGGCTTTATTGGGGGAAATGCTGGGGAATCACTTGGTCTTGGTCTTGCCTTTGCCTGGGGGCAGCTGGAAGGGCTGCTCCAGGGTGGCCAACTTGCTGTTCAGCCTTTCCTCGCTGGCCAGGAGCCGCTCTTCCACCAGCTGTCGCAGCTGCCCCAGCTCCCTGTCCATCTGGGTCTTGATGAAGGCTCGGAGGACGGAGACCTGGCCTGCAGGACGGGAGGAGGGGCAGGTCAGGAGGGTTGCTGTCTGGGGCTGAGGGAGCTGCCCCTAGCTGGGCAATCACCTCCCAAGGTGTCCCTCAGGTGGCAGTACTACTGCTCTGCTTCCGGAAACACCAGCCAGCCTGCCTGCGAAAGGCAGCTGGGCAGAGTGGCTTTACCCAACTTTGTGGGGTCATGTAACTGCCACTCAGTAGTTGTGTGGCCTCAGGTTCTTTGACTTCTCCGTGCCTTAAGATTCCTCCTGTGTAAAATGTGGAGAGCGAAGACACACCTACCACACACAGCAGGGCGAGGGTTAAATGAATCAGGGTGTGTAAAATGCTTAAAACGGGCTGCCTGGTGCATAGTACAGGCGGTCCCCAGGGTACATACATCCACCTTACGGACAACTCATCCTTTTATGTTATGTAAACCTGCCCTCACTCTGAAATGACCGAACCAACCCATTGTTGTTGTTAGGTACCGTCAAGTTGGTTCTAACTCACAGTGACCCTGTGTACAACAGAACACAACACTGCCCAGTCCTATGCCAGCCTCTCAGGCTTTGCTATACCTTAGCCCATCGTGGCAGCCACTGTGTCGATCCATCTCTTTGAGGACCTTCCCTTTTTTCTTGACCCTGCACTTTACCAAGCGTGATATCCTTCTCCAGGGAATGGTCCCTTCTGACACAACCAAAGAAGGTAAGACGAAGTCTGAGCCCTGCTGCAGCTAATTCTTCATCACAGTTACCTTCACTTGCTGCATGTGCAGCTTTTAAACCACTGAAAAGGCATTGGGCCTTCTGCACTAAAGTAAGGCTGTACAGGAACCGTGTGCACCTGTTCCACCTCACCTACACATTCCACTAAAGACACACTCGGGAGTGAATCCCATTCGCAACCTGGGCACTGCCGGTAATTGTCAAATATGTGCTGGCTCTTACTGTCATTCCTTTTATAGTCATGCTCTCTGGACTGCCTGCCATCCCCCGTACACACCAGTGTTTTTTCTATCTGTCATACTGAATTTCTGCATAAAGATTCCTTTGCAGAAAAGGTACCATGACAAAAAAAAAAAAATTTAAAGGCCTGACATGGTCGAAACGACTTGTTTTACATCTGCCTAGAGTCATGAGATTCTAAACCTTCCATGTCCTCACCTGGCTCTTGCTTTAGCTGGGCCGCTATCTCTGGTTCCTGCTCTTGCGGGGTAACTGCCTGCTCCTCTGCCCCTTCTTCGATGTCTTCTTTCTCTGAAACCACAACAGGAAGAGGCCTCAGTCCCAGTCCAAGCCCTAGCCCCTTCCCTTATCACTCTTACCCTCTGGCCAGAGTTCAGGTGGCTGCAGCCCCAGGTAAGTCAAAGATAGATCCAGCTGCACCTGGGAAGAGAAGGGAGAAGGAGGCTGACTGCAGTGTCTGCACGGAGGCAAAGGGGAGAGGAGGGATGGCTTCTAGTAGCCCATAGCCCAGTACCTGGGGCGTGAAAACATATTTGTAGAGCTTGAAGTGGCGGAAGTAGGTGTTGACTACGTAGTCTAATAGGGCCAGCAGCTGTTCCTCCTTAAAGAGGTCAATGCTGAAGGGAGGCCGCTGTGGGGATGATGGGAGTCAGGGAACTGATCCACCTCAGGCCTTCCCTCTCCCACCTGAAGCCCTAGCTTCTCCTCGAAGACTGCATCTAGAACCAGGGAGAGCCCACTGCAGCCTTTAGAAGACGAAGGTATCAGAGACGAAAGTATCAGAGCAGGACTTAAGGCAGGACGGTGTCTGAGGGAGAGTAAAGGGAACTGACCCTGACTCCATGGCAAAAAAGTGCAGTGGTGAAGTAACGGTAACATTCTTCCACGTTGCCCAACGGGGTTGCTGGGAGGGAAAGCAAGACGTCACAGTGAGTCCCCTCTCTGATGTTCATTCATCTCACTCATTCAGTACATACTTACTGACCATGAGCTTTAGCAGTGGACAGACCTAGGTTCAAATTCAGGCTTGTTTCATTAATTCATTCAACAAATACTGTGTACCCACTATGTGCTGTTTTAGGCACTGAACAAGACAGAAGGGTTCCTGCCCTTATGAAGTTGATATTCTAAGGAAGCAACAATAAACCAAAGAATATGTAACTTCAAATATAGTTATAAATGCCAAAGAAAAGTCAGGGAATAAAGGGGGTAACCTAAAACCAAACCAAACCCACTGCCATCGAGTCGATCCCAACATAGTGACGCTATAGGACAGACTAGAACTGCCCCATAGAGTTTTCCAAGGCTGTAAATCTTTATGGAAGCAGACTGCCTCATCTTTCTCCTGAGGAGTAGCTGGTGGGTTTGAACTGCCAAGCTTTTGGTTAGCAGCCCAATGCTTAACCACAGCGCCACCAAAGCTCCTTAAACGGGGCAAGCAGGGGCTATTTTATTGAGCACAGTGCATAAGTTACGTGTGTTTTTTTCTCAGAACAATTCTATAAAGGTAGTGCTGTATCCTTGTTAGGTAGATAAGGAAACAATTTCAAAGGTTAATTAACTTATGATTATAATGTTAATGACAGAAATCCCAGGTGGCAATCCCCCCACTTCCTAGAGTCTCTGTGCCCGCCAGCCTCCCTCTCATCGGCATGAATTCTCCAGTAGCCGCCTCCCTCTCACCAACACAGGCTTTATGGAGATCTTGGAGCAGGGCACAAGCTGCTGATGTCTGCTCCAGGGAGAAGCCTTGCTGACGGCAGAAGATGAGTGCGTGGGAGAAGAGGTCCAAGGTGATGGCTTCCCGCAGGTTCTGCTCCGGGCAGCTCAGCCCCAGCAGCTCAACCAGCACCCTTGGAAGAGGCAGAGGAAGGAGTAAGGGGGAATACTTAGCCTCCCATCACCACCCCACACTCACCACATGATTTGAAGCCAGCCAAGCCCATCCCCCTCAGCCTTCCCTGAGAGCTCTCCTAACCCTCCCTGTTCAGCCCCATACTCCTTCATCTCCTCAGCATTGGTGGTCTTCTCCAGCTGGTGCATAGAGTGGATGTCCAAGTACTTCCTGTCACAGAAGAGGGAAGAAGTGTGGGTAGCCGCTATGCCACAGTCTTAGGGTTATCATGGTGACAGGTTCAGGCTGAGAATCAGGAGACCTGAGCTTGAGGTCACTAACTCTTCACTAACTTGCTCTGAACCTCAGCCAAGTCACTTCCCTCTCTGGCCCTCCGTTTCTCAATGTGTAAATGAGGGGCTGTCCTAAACGAACTCTTGCGAGCCTCTACGTTTATAAAACCTAGGGTTAGGCAACGACTTCCTGTCTCTACTCTGCCACTCCCTTGCTGCCTGACCTTGGGCAGGTCCCCCCCTGTGAGGTTCAGGGTCCCCATGTGAACAGCAGCGGCTCTGATAGTCATTACCTCCTCGGTCCTTGGCTCCTTCCTCCCCACACTCCGTCTATAGACTAAGGAGGCGGAAGAACTGACTCCTAGTCACTTTGGGCAAATTGGACCTGTCTCTTTCTCTATAAAATGGGGATGCCCTGGCTACTTGGCACGGCTGATGGGGAGGCACTAAAGAAATAATGCAAGGGTATTGTGATGTGTGGCTTTCTCCCGCGGTTCTTCGCACTCACCACATGCAGATCCGAGGCTGGGGCAGCGGCGGCTGCGGAGAGAGAAAGGATTGGGGAAGGCAGCGCTGTGTTGTCCCTGGCTCTGCGCGAACCTATCTCAAGAACCACGTACAAGCAAAGCTGACCGGGCGGGGCTTCAGCAGGCCCCAATAACTATATGTCAGCACAGTTAGAACTGGGGTTGTTCCCAAAGCAGCTCGGGAAACATCTTTAACCTCAGTAAACATAATGACAGGTGACGCCCTGCCTGGGATGCCTCCTAAATATATTCCTGAGCAGATCACTCTACTTCGTCCTCACCGGGAACAAGCTGGCTGCCGGATCGTCATCCACTTCCACAGAGGCAGCCGTTCCCGACTCGGTCCGCACACCCGTTCCCATCCTCGTGACTGATTCACCCACTGAGCTGAAATCGTCCGGTTCCCGCTGCTGTTCGGAGGGCTGTTCACACTCGGACCGCATTTTCAGTCCCAGCCATTGGTTGCACTTCTGGTGGATCATCTTTTCGCTCTGCCGTCCGCAGATCAACACAGCCCCCGTCCCGCCTCCTTCTAGGACAGCCAATGCTTGGGTAGAGACTCCCAAGGCCTGGCCCCTTAGCGACGCTTCAGCCAATCTGCGCCGCAGAGAGTCTCAGTGCAGCCAATCCGCAGGAGGCGTCTTCCTCCGTCTCAGCAGAGACCGTTGCTAAGGGGGCTTGTGAAGGAGGGAAAGTAGAAAGTGTAGGGCACTGACCAATCCGTGATAATAGAATGCGCATGCGTAACAAATTGCATTTGCTCACTTCTGTGCCCTCCAAAGTTGCCAATAGGAGGAGAGCAGACTATGTCAATTCAGGTGGGGAAATGGGAGTGTGCTATCGGTTACCCTGGGAACTATCTTCTAGCCAATCAGCGAGAGAAAGAGGCGTTCAGGAAGGAACCGAATGGGACGCAAAAGACGGAACCATGTGCGACCAAGAGCAACAGGAAATAAAGACTTTTCGCCACATCCGGCACTGACTTTGGCGCCTGCGCCGTGTGCTGGAGAGGCCGGCGACGTCCGGTGAAATCCAAGATGGTGGCGCTAGTTTGAGGCTATAGCCGGTGAGGGCCCCGGGGCCGGCGGGGCCAGGATCCAGCAGGTGTGTGCGCGGGGAGAGGGATGGAGGAGTTCGGGGCTCTGGGCACCGGCCACCTCCACATGTGTGCTCTCTGTCTTCTGCAGGTGAATTAAGTGTCGCCTCCGCCCACTTGACGCCCCTCGGTGGGACCCCGCGCTGCTCCCCGCCGTCGCAGCCATGTCTGGGACCGGCAACAAACGCGCCGCCGGAGATGGGGGCTCGGGGCCCCCAGAGAAGAAGCTGAGCCGCGAGGAGAAGACCACGACCACTCTCATAGAGCCCATTCGCCTTGGGGGCATCTCTTCCACGGTTCGTGGGCCCTAGTCCTCAGAGCTTGGCAGGCTCCCGCCTCTGTTCTCCGCCCAAACCGTCCAGAACCTTACCGCTGGTTCCCCAGGCTTAGCAAGGTCCACTTTACAGAACATTGTTGAAAGGGACTATGGACACGATGTCTGTCTTCCCCTTACAGGGAAGGTACCTAGAGGACGTCTAACTTGTCTCTGGGTTGTGAGTGGTTTTTAGAGTTAGAAGCGGCAGAGGCGGAAGCAGAACGTGAGCCTCCCAGTCAAGCCACCGTCTCTGTGGGCGTCGAAGTCTCTTTAAATCCATGGGTCAATCTGTTTCCGCAGTGATGCTGCCTTGTCGCTGAGTCGGGTCCGACTTGACAGCACATAACAGCAACAACAAACCGTTAGCTTTGGGATACTGTTCTTTCCCTTTCTGTCCTGATATTTGATTTCTGCTTCTCTCCTCGTCTTCTTTGTTGTCTTGGTAGGAAGAGATGGACTTGAAGGTACTGCAGTTCAAGAACAAGAAACTAGCAGAGCGGTTGGAACAGCGGCAGGCTTGTGAAGATGAACTCCGGGAAAGAATTGAGAAGCTAGAGAAGCGGCAGGCCACGGATGATGCCACCCTTCTCATTGTCAACCGCTACTGGGCTCAGGTGGATGCCCTCTGCTTTCCTACACCCGGCCTTTATGTGGCTACCAATCCTCAGACCCTTCTCCTGAGGAAGGAGCTATGCTGGGAAGCATCTGAGGGAACCATAATGTTTCTGGCGCTTTCTCCCTTCAGCTGGATGAAACTGTGGAAGCCCTTCTTCGACGTCATGAGAGCCAGGGGGAGTTGTCTTCAGGGACAGAAGCACCTGGAACCCAAGAGGGGCCAACCCATGACGGGACCCCTCTCACAGAGCCGGGGACACCAGAGCTGAGGGGTAGGGCCAGAGCCCTAGGGTCTGGGGAGCTAAGTTAATTTCTGGGTGGGAGGAAGTTTTGCTGTTAGGCGCCTGGAATCGCCCCTACTCCAACACAGGTGATTTCACGTTGGGCCCAGAGTGCAGGCTTTGGAATCTGATTGACTTGGTTCTCATTGCAGGTCATGTTTTGACACTTCTGTTTAGTTTAAAACAAGCATTTAGTATTGACTGTGTACTTGGCCCTGTTCTGACTTGGAAGAGACAAAAATAAGCGAGAAGAAATTGTCTTTGTCAGTAAAGGAACTAGTGTTTAGAGACTGTGTAAATAAGTACGTAAATATATGCGTGATTATAAACGATAATAAGGGAAAATGTAGGGATCCCTGAAAGAGAATGGTGGGGGTGCATGTTTATGCAGTTCTAATTTAGACTGGGAAAAGAGAAGCGGCTTCCCTGAGGAAGTGATTTGGGAACTCTGTGGTCTTGAGGAAATTAGTTCCCTGCACTGGAGTTGTCTCACTTTCAGGATGGGGATAAATACATTGTAGGTGGTAGCTGTATTGATTCAATGAGCTGGGAAAGACTTGGGCTGCGACTTGGTGTATGGTGGTAGTCACTGTTGCTATTCTCCTCATGAAGGTCTGCCCATCCCTTTCAGAGCCTCTGCCAATGCAGCTGCGACCCCCTCTTAGTGAACCTGCCTTGGCTTTTGTGGTGGCACTGGGCGCCAGCAGCTGTGAGGAGGTGGAGCTACAGCTGCAGGGCCGGATGGAGTTCTCCAAGGCAGCGGTGTCCCGTGTTGTAGAGGCCTCAGACCGCTTGCAGCGCCAAGTGGAAGAACTCTGTCAGCGAGTTTACAGCCGCGGTTAGTTCTTTGTACCCCCAAAGCTTTCCACTTTACCTGCACTTTGATGGCTCCCCCTCATGCACTGAGCCCAAAGGAACCCATGTTCTGGGAGGGGAGTTGATTTGTAGAAGGGGGCTCTAGCTTTCTTTCTTTTTTTTTTTTCTTGAAGATATTTTGTTTTCTGCCTCTGATTCACTGGTTTTGCTTCTCTAGCAAACCCAGTCTAAGACAGATGGTAATTCCCCATGCAGCAATTTTTTTTTTTAAATTTTTATTATGATTTGGGTGAAAGTTTACAGAGTAAATTTATTTTCCATATAGCAGCTCACATACAGTTTGTCTCATGATACTGACTGCAGTTTCCCACAATGTAACAGCTTCCGGGTTTGATTCTTGGAGTTGAACTCTGGAGTAAAGGGTGGAGGAGTTGCTGATGTTGATGGAGTGACCCTCTTTGTCTAGAGTCCTCTCTGGAGCACTGTGAGGGAACCTTGTTGGCAGTTACTGATCTACAAGGCATAGTAGCAAGTGCCCAGGCTTTGTGAGCTGATAGGCTTCTCTCTACCTGCCTTCTGCTACTCTATCCTGGGTCTCCTGAATAGATGTCTTCTATCTCTGAACAGGTTTCCTCCTCTCTACAATGGGAATAAGAAGGTCTTGGCTTTGTTATGAGAAATTGCATAAAGGTTGGGGATCACATTGGATGTACAGCAGACTCCAAAATGAGTTAGCACTCCGTTCCGCTGCACTGGCATTCACCCTTAACCTTTATGTCCTCCCTTCCCAGGGGACAACGAACCCCCCAGCGAGGTGGTTCAGGCACGTACTCGGGAGCTTGGCCGTGAGAACCGGCGGCTACAGGACTTGGCCACCCAACTTCAGGAGAAGCACCACCGCATCTCATTGGAGGTGGAGTCAAGAACTTTCGGGGTGGGATTGCAGCCAGGGCAGGGTTTGGGTTAAATGGGCACCAAAGAGTCTCAGGGAACCAAGTCCCCCATCTAAGCATCTGTGCCCTCCACTGCCCCCAGTACTCCGAGCTCCAGGATAAAGTGACTTCGGCAGAGACCAAGGTGCTGGAAATGGAGACGACAGTGGAGGACCTGCAGTGGGACATTGAGAAGCTGCGCAAACGAGAGCAGAAGCTTAATAAGCACCTGGCGGAGGCCTTGGAGCAGGTGGGGCTGGGGTGCTAGGGCGGGCAGAGCCACGGCTGGGTACTTAGGGCCTAGTTTCACATCTGTCCATCTGCCTCTCTCCTCTCCACAGCTCAACTCTGGGTACTACGTGTCTGGGAGCTCCTCGGGCTTCCAGGGCGGCCAGATCACACTCAGCATGCAAAAGGTGAGGGGCATCATTCTTCTCAGCCCTGCCCGTCACCTTTTCCCGGCTTCACCCCTGAAGTTCCCCTCAGAATTAAGGACAGGCATCCAGCCAGAGTCTGTGAGGCCCTGCCTTTATCCATTCAGTAAATAGCTGTTGAACACTGAATGCCAGCCACTGTACTAGAAACATTGGTATTAGAAATGTTGGTTCTAGAAATATTGGAGAACTAAACAGTCTAGGTTCTACTTGAGCAGACAATAAAGAAACAAATAAAACATACAGAACATCGGTTATACCACTAACGGCAACAACAACAGGAAAGAAGAAACGGAAGTGTGTCGTAATTGGTTGGCATTCTTAGCTGGGTGGCTGTGGAACGACCTCACCGAGGGGATGCGTTTTATCAGTAACTCATTCTTCATCCTGACTTCAAGGCTTCTTTCCCATCTTGGTTACTGTACATTTTTTTGGTGACGTTGGGGTTACTGTGCCCTGTTCCCTTTATGCCACCTGGCTTTTCAGGTCTTCCCAGGCACTCTTCAGTTAGGAGCCTTGGTTCCCACGATTGACTACTTAGCATTGAATTTTCTCTCACTTACCTGGGAGCTCTTGGCCAGTGCTTAGTCAGCCTCATCCTCTGGGCTTTAGGCTCCACCTGTACTGCACGGGGAGGCTTGGATGGAATGTGTGGTGGGAATGTCAGGTGTGCAGCCTGCCTCTCACAGCCCCTCGTGCTCCACAGTTTGAGATGCTGAATGCAGAGCTGGAGGAAAACCAGGAATTGGCCAACAGCCGCATGGCAGAACTGGAGAAACTGCAGGCTGAACTGCAGGGGGCTGTGCGGACCAATGAGCGCCTCAAGGTGGGCTGTGGTTGGGCTGGGAAGGCCTGGGCCTGAGGTAGGGGTGGAGCCCTGACTGCTGCTTTGCTGATCACTTTTGGGCATGTCCGCCCCAGGTGGCCCTACGGAGCCTTCCTGAAGAGGTGGTTCGGGAGACCGGGGAGTACCGCATGCTGCAGGCCCAGTT